TGTTTCGAAAGATTAATGGGGGGGGGGGGGATCGACAAAAGATTGATCACCCGTGCATGTGCGCCAAAAGTTCCACCAGATATAGCATCGTTTCGTTTGTGAGACATTCGTTGTAAACAGCTGTTAATTTCTCGAGGATTTTTAATAAACGCATAGCAACCAATATACTTCGTTCCGCGTTCTTCTGATCCTATATTATAATATATCTAATTGTTACTCTGATATATAATATTATTAATATAATAATCAATATAATATTGCATCTGTATAATATAATATATAATAAATATAATGTGTATAATGTTATATATTATATATATAATATTTTACTATTCATAATGCCATTACACGAAGATATTTCATTAGATTTCCGCTAAAATAAACCATGTAACATATATATTGTTAGAATCGCATGCTAATGTACCTTGATCGTGGATAAAAGACGGGACACATCTTTCGCCATTTGAGCGAGATGCATCACGACACTGTTTGGTTTGATATTGTCATGATAAATAAGAGCCAATTTAGCAAATGCCTCGGATAAATCAACAAACGTCTTGGTGTCCATCCCGTTTGCGATAGAGGCGATGCTACCGTACGCATCGATCACTGAGAAAACCGACAATTTAAAACAACAATACGACAATACGAGAATTTGATTGAATGTGTTAATAAAATTTAATAAAATTTTTTCTGATGTATAATAAAAAAAAATTCCATCATATATTTTAACTGTAAATCGACTTAAAATTGAATCTGCGGAAAAGTGAGCTTATTGTTAGTAAAAAAGAGAGATACTCTATATTTTTATAAAATAATACATTTTTAAATAATTTTTCAAAATTTGCAAAACACTATCTCTTTCTCTCTGTTTTCCTGTTTTGATTTTAAGGTTTTTGAAAAATCCTTAAGAATAAATGCGCTCGCGATAAGGTCGAAAGTAAAGATCTTCAGGTTAAAAAGTCGTTAGGATATAATGGATGAATCGCTCTTACCTTTCATCAACAGCTCCGTTTCCGATTGCACATCCGTGTCGAAGACGATTACGCTGTTCAAAGTGGCAAAGAATAGCTTAAAGATCGCGCCCCCTTTTGTGAACAAATTCCTCAATTCTTGCATCGCACCGCTCAATAAAATTCCGTACTTTGGGCTATAATAATTTTTCAACAATGATTTCTTTATTTTATGTATTATTCGATATACTTATATTAAAATCATAAAAATTATATAAAATCATAAAAATTCCTAAGAATTTATTTCTTTACACTAGTAATATTTTAACATCTGATAGACACCTGGTTTTGCAATGTTCAAAAACGATTTTTATCGTTTCAGGTAAAATGTTGCATAACGATGTGACATAAGGAGCTCGAACTTTTCCAAGTGTCGATACATGTTCTATACATTTTTTCCAGAAGGCAAGCACGCCATCACAGATACGCAGTTTGTGCATAACACTATCCAGATCATCGATTTTCACGTTATCGCCCATTATTGTGTCGTCTATGGATCTCACGATCTTTGCCACAAAAAATAAAAAATATCTCAATATGAAAGATAAAGCGGTAAGTATCAGATCAAATTATGGATAAGATTTACTCTCTTCTTCTCTCTCTCTCTTTACGTGCAATATAATTATAATTTTATATAACACATACACAAATATAATATAAAAAATATATATGTATACAACAAAATATTTAAAAAATGTATATATATAT